TTGAGTCTTTCTAAATATTTAGTTAGTAAAACAAACGTTTTAATTATACCAAGTTAATCGTCAAACCGCTTCAGGGATAATTAAAAAGTATGAGTTTATATAAATATTAATACATTAAGTAAAAAACCCTGTACCCTTTATGAAGAAAGATATTTTCTTTCAAGTTCTTTGAAATTTCGATTCCTTTTAATTTTACATAGTAGTTAAGACACCCTACTACAAAGTTTCTGTAAAAAAAACATTTATAAAGATAACCTTTTCTATATGTATACAGGGTTACTGGGTAAGTCGACCTAAATACTTTAAGGGGTTGTAGTTGCCATCATTTCTGATAGATTTTGCCATAAATCCAATAACAATACAATTCTTTACTTTTATTTATCGCAAACCATTACCATAAACACATATACTCGTACATTTTCAAGATATTGGACTTTTAAGTTTTTTTTTTAATTTTCCCTGGGAAACTGACAGTGAAACAGCTCCGACTCGTGAATCCATCTTCACCATTATTGCTTTGACGGGGTGGAAAATCTTTCTAGGTCAGGCAGATAACTCGAAAGTCAGGCAATGACAGCAGATGTTTACTGTGCCAAACTTCGATCAATGATGGCGAAACTGGCAGTGAAACAGCCCCGACTCGTGATCGATCATCCATGATAGCGCAAGACCTTACACTGCACGAGAAACTGTTGTAACTATGCAGGAGTTGCAGTTAGAAACCATACGTCATCCTCCGTACTCGGCAGACCTTGCTATAACGGACTACCATTGTTTTCGTGATTAGGACAATTTTGTACTTGATAAAAAAATTCTTCCCAGGAGGCAGTACAAAATGCTTTCACAGTTTGTCGAATCTCGATCCCCAGAGTTCTATCGTAAAGGCATAAATGAACTTCCGTTTAGGTGTCATCAATGTATAGATAATGGGGTAAATATTTTGAATAAATAAATTTGTGTCATCTTAGAAAAAAACGAGTTTCAATTTTGCAGTACAAATCGGCAATTTCATAGTTTAACCCCTAATATTACCAAGACTAGCAGATTACCAATTTTCAGTTTCAATACAATATAATCACATTACAGTCAACGTTGGATATTTAATACTTAACTACAAAAATACCTTTTAACAATTGTGAGACCTAGAGTTGATCGGAACTGAATTGCGGCCGTACTTTTATTACGAGAATTGGCCTTTATGACCGAGCGCCACAGGAGGCGGAGCCGACCACACGTCGTGACACAAAGCTTTGTAATTACAGGACCTTCGGAATAAGTGTTCAAATATATTGCTACAAAATAAAATGTATCTATGTGAAACTTTATCATGTGTTATGAACTGTATTTATCCGAGTATATTATGTACAGGTGTTTAGGAGATTGGCGACCTAAAGTGACATACATAACTTTTATATTATTTTTCACAACCTTTATAACTGACGTGTTAATCTAGTGGTTAGTGATCCTGATTGCTGAGACAGAGGTCATGGGTTCGGTTCCCTCCCAGGACAAATATTGTGTGATGAGCACAACTTCTTCTGTGATTTAAAAACATATCAGCATGATTAGTTAGAAATATTTGTGTCCGGTTGACGGCAAATAGGCTTAAACCTTATTACGAATGGGGCCTGTTTTTCCTGTGTGGAAATCCCCTTGGATACCACCCACCGTTGGTTATGTCGGACTCTAACCGACTAAAAACCGCACGCCATCTCAGTTACCAGTAGCCGGGAAACCTGGTGTACCCTAGGAAGGAAATCCCTGGAACCCCGACGTACCCTGAACCATCTAGATGACCCTCTTGTGTGTGGGAACCAAGGTGTTCCCGTTCAATAAACTAAAGGGCGCGTCGCGCCGCCAACCCGGCCTACTTCTGCTAGGTTGACAGATGGCTTCACTTGTCACCCCCAGACTTCGATCTCGCCTCCAGGTCCAAACCAGGAGGCCAGAATTCCACCATGGCAAACTTCGGAAGAGATCGTGCGGCACCCTGTTATGACCCTGATAGCCAGGACACGCTGTAGTCGTCGCAGTAGAGGGGCGTTGCTGGCCTCTAGGGCCTCCGCCCATAACGGGGCCCCTGAAAGAGCCAACCCCTGAGTAGAGTCTCCCGCAGGAGTCATCGGGTCCCCTCATGTTGGGTAGCAACCGCGCTAATGCCCGCGCTGCTCCAAGCATTTGGGGACCAGACCTTGAACGTAAGTGGCACTAAAATTATAATGTCTATCGATTCGGACTTAAAGTAATGGGTGTCTATATGCCATATATAGGTATATACTCGTAGATAGATTTTGAAATATGCGCACCATTTTGTTAGATATTAAAATACTATGAAAAAATAAATGCGTGTAACATAAGAATTAAAAATAAATACAGAAACGGGACACCAAAAAAATGTTACTTGATATCTGAAAATTAGTATTTGCATCACGTTGAAAAACAGGTTTCAATGAGAACTTCACTTTCAGCAGCCCGTTCGTGGTACGAGGCCCGGATTTCAAAAAATATACATATATTAAAGATCATAGCGGTGTACGTACGAGTATCTAGACCGGGTGCTACGTGCTCACTTCATGCTTACCTTGAGAATAAAAATGTGTAGTAAGTTTGATGAAAACTGTGTTTATTACATAACATTTTGTATACATATACATCTGGTAAAGTAAAATCACACGTAAGGCTAGTATAAACTTACCTGTTTTCTCGATTCTAAGTCAATGAGAAGTATCTTACATATCGACGTATGTAGCTTTGTTTCCAACTCCCGTACTTGGAATATATCCTGCTATATATTCCAAGTACATTCACAAACATACATGAAACGGACATAAAGAATACCCAAACTCGGAACAATAATTTGTAGATCAAACAAAGTGTTGTCCCATGTAGGGATCGACCCCAAACCGCGCATTATCTCAGTTAATCAGTTTTTTTTTATTTAGCCAGACTATTAGAAAAGACGTATATGTCCCCCGAAGGAACCGAAAGGAAAATGGGGCCGAATGCCAAAGCATGACTCTTTCACCTACAAAATGATTAATTGTAACAAATCGCACCATTAGAGTTGTTTTATTTACGTTAAATATCTTTATATTTGGAACTACCCTTGAATACAACCATTCAATTAAAAAAAGAATGATTGAATCGGTCACACAAACGTGAAAGAAATCTCGTAACAAAATACAGAAATCAGCCGAATTGCGTACCTCTTTGTATTTATAATCAGTTAAAAATAAAGATACAATGACAATACAATTTGACTATTTCTTGTTGAAATTGAGATGTTCATTCAAATGAAAAAATATGATTCCAAGGGAAGAGCGGTGTCCCACGTGAAAGCGATTAGCGACTTGACTAAAACCATTGGGGTTCTTTCTCTTTTTTGATAACAATCATCCTTTCTCTCACTTTCCTGCAATATTAGGGAGTGATTTCTTAAATAGGGACGGAAGAACGTAACGCGATACCGGGAAAGTTCTCACTATTTGATTTTACTGAGGAGTGCGTGCCAAAATTCACCGTCAGATAGTAATTTAGATGCAGATGTTATACATCATATGCAACTACTATGAAGCTCTTTTTTAAAGATATGCCATCAGCGGTTATAATAGGTAGATAAACTCTTCATCAAACCTCCTTTCTAAGGAGATTCCTATGTCCAGCAGTGGACTAGTAATGGCTGTTGATGATGATGATGAAATTCTTCATTTTACACTAAAATTTCAACAATTGGACAACAACAACAAAAAAACAACATACATTATAATAATCTTAAAACTAACGTATAATTGGCGGCAACATCGCGATCTCCAATTTCTTCCGTGCAACCATCGGATTAAGACTTGAGGGGTTGCAGTGTACGGTAACTAGGCATATCTAGATGCACATCAAAATCAGCCTATCGCAGTCCACTGCTGGACATAGGCCTCTCCCATTGCACGCCACTTAGATCGATTAATAGATGCAAACATACACACAAATTATCTAAATAATGCAAATAACATGATCTATACTAATTTTGTAAAGAGGGAAAGTTTGTATGTTCCAGATAATCGTCGGTACTACTGATCCGATATTAAAAATTGAATTTTGTAAAGGTATGTTATCTCTGAGTGCTAAAGACAACTTTTTGGCCACTTGCAACAACGTCTACTATATTGCTAAACACCACAAAACCCAATTTTTAGAAGAATACCTTCTGTATTCTATAATTAGACGCCGATGTACAACAGGGCTTTAATAAGTAAAATATTATGTACATTGCCGCAATAGCAATTATTGTGAAGGTTTCTTCACATTTTGTTTTAGTTAATACGAACACAACGATTTCAAATAAACACTAGTTTAATAATCAGAATAACACAATACAATTATTAAAAATATCACAAAATGTATCTACAATGATAATAATTTAAAAACACCGCTAACAGTAGGACCTCACTCAACGTTTCACGTTTTTTATCTCAACCGATTTTTCGACAAAAGAAAATGTTTGTATTACACGAAAAATAAAGGTAACAAAGCAACTTGTAATATGATTGGAAGAGATAATACCGCTCTTTTATAAAATTCTATAATTTCTATGCCACTAAGGTTATATTCTATTCAGTTCAAGATTAATTTTAATATATTTGGAAATTTGCGAAGTTCTCAAATTACTTGAAAAGTATCTGTTGTAAAAATGACTAGAAAAAGACCGGGGGTTAAAGCTAAAACCTAGGTCGGGCTATTTAAATTTTTATAACAAACTGATTTCGAACATCAGAGTCTAAATTAAAAAAAAAAAACCTGTCTATTGCAATCACGCATATATATAATAATATACATATACAATAATATGCATAATACACACAATTTCTTGCATAATTAGCCATTCTACGTCAGTCTAATATCTATCGTCTAACTTTGTAATTTTTTGTGTTGTATTTCTCAACAATCCTTGCTCTAATTTTTGATTCCAAAATCAAAGCCATCCAGATTTAAACTCTAGAAAATACAAAATGTCATGGAAAGGAATGGAAAATGTTTGCGGTTTTAAGGAAATGAAAAACTACAATCTTGTGATAAGACAATTATTATCAGAATTTCTGGGTTCCCTTCTGTATCTATCACTAGTGCTATCTGCGGGTATAGGAATCAAAAGTACCAATGATAACGAAGGCAGAAGGATTGAACATGGAACTGCCACTGTTCTGATCGCCGTAGCTAATGGACTGGTTGTGGCTAGCATTATCACAATCTTCGGCCATGTATCTGGCGCTCATATAAACCCAGCCGTAACGTGCGGTGCAATGATTTGTAAGCATATCAAACCCGTAAAAGCTGTTTGCTATGTTATAGTGCAAATTGTTGGAGGTGTAGCAGGTGAGCTTACTGATTTTGAGCCTTTGCCGTTTATTATTGAATTGAGATTTGTTTCAATCGTTGATATGATTTGTTATAAGTAGTGATGTGCCGAATCGTTAAAAAATTCATAATATTTGCATATGAGAGGCTCGATCCCCACATGGGACGACACTTTGTGTGATCAACAAATTGTTGTTCTGAGTCTGGGTGTTCTTTGTGTCCGTTTCATATACTCGTATGTTTGTAGAGTCCCCCGCGACACAAGAAAAATGTAGCTTAGTATTAGCTGTAGTGTGTAGTAAACCTTTAAAGCGGTTTTGCATACCTTTAAACTTTATAACATAATACCTTTTGCCCGCAGCTCCGCCCGCGTGTATGTCGGTTATCATGATAAAGGTAGCCTATGTCCTTCCTTAAGAATCAAACTCTCTCCATAAAAAAGTTAATCTAAATTTATTCAGCGGTTATTGATTCCCCATAAAAACTTCCACCCCCTTAAATGATGATTTCCGGGATAAAAACTATCCGATGTCCTTTCCTGGGACTCAAACTATCTCTACACCAAATTTCATTTAAATAGGTTCAGCGGTTTAAACGTGAATAGGTAACAGACAGACAGGCAGAGAGACTGGCAGACAGACACACTTTCGCATTTATAATATTAGTATGGATATCATTCAAAAATGAAATATTTAACGAAAACAAGTATCTAAAAATATAACACAAATTTTTTTAAATGTAGCATTTACTTACCAAACAACCTGTAAATCAAAGACTATATTACCTTATTTTTGTACTCGTAAACAAACATATTAATAAAGAAGATCTGGCTTTGTGTTAAGTCTCTGTGAAACATAAGATCTCCAACCGCATGAAACATGGTAATTAAACCCGCGGCGAATTGTATCGGTGGCTTGTTAACATTTTCGTAAAGACATAGACGAATGGACAAAATAAATAATTATAATCTTCTGGAATAGTACAATCTATTTGGATTTACGTTACTTGACACACAAACATCCGTAAAGACCACGCTTTAAAAAGAAACAAGTTACAACAAAATAACTAAAAATGGTTATTTCGTTGCGTTGTATGCCGTGGAAGTGGGTGCGAGGGGTACACCAGCTAAATACCTCTATAACCTGCTTAAAGACCCTGGCTTGCCAGGCTTAGTAGTAAGCTTTTTTTCTAGAACGAATATCCAAAGCGGCATTGCTAGGCTCGTATCAAATATGGTTAGGTAGCGGGGGTAACGCAGCAGACAGTGGAGGTTGAGCGCTGACGCGTCGCAAGGAGTACTCCCTAAACCTATTCCTAGGTCGCAATTTCCAGGCGGTATCGAAGTCGCATATGTTGCCCCCATCTATCACGTGATGGACCCGGGTGGCACCCGCACGGTGAATCACTGGGACGCTGAGTCTGGGTGTCCTTTGTGTCGGTTTCATATACGATATCAATTCGAACCAGTATTTCTTGAAATTGTTTTTAAAAGACAACTCCCGCATTGGGAGCCTATCCTAGACATTAAAAACAAACAAAAAATTCTTCTATTATTGGCTAGCCATTACCCATAACCGTCCTCGATAAATTGACTATACGCCATATAATCACGCTACGACGGCTACGAAACTTAGAAAATTATCTAATTATAAATTATCCCTTTGGAGAGACGTAGAGGCAGTTCAGTTCGGGTCAGCTAGTGCTAGCTATTAACAAAATAGCAACCTGTACCCTAAAACAAGTAGAGAAAGTGCTTATTCTGACGATTTTAATACAAATTTAAACCCAATACAAATGCAAACTCAAAGTTAGATTGTATGAGTTTAGATCGAAGTCAATATTTATTGTTGCCACTTCTAAAGTCAATTTTAACTACGGGCAACTCGCTCGATATAAAATCAACATCAATTTGTACACGATAACAAAGTGAGACTATAATTCTAGAATTAAAGTTGGATTGTTGGAATTTTTTATTTTTATTTTTTATTTTCACACACACACGGCCGTCTGGTCCCAAACTAGGCAGAGCCTGTACTATGGTAACCAGACTACTAATAAACATACTTTTATATTTCTAAATGCATACATATTATAGATAAATGACACCGAGACACAGAACCTACGACCGCCGGTTTAGCAGTCGGGGTCACTAACCACTAGACCAACAGGCCCATCAAGATGGGACGTGTTCATTATTGAAAGGCCAACATTCGCGACTAAAAAACCGTTTGAATGTCATCAAACGGTTTTTTTGTCACGAATGTTAGCCTTTTTTAGACATTTTGTACCAATGAATGTTTATTGGTACAAAATGTATATAGATATTATTATATACTAGTCTTTGCTAGCTTTAGCTTATCGCAGTAATAAGGAGCCCATGTTAATCGCTGATAATGTAGCTTTCCATTGGTGAAAGAATTTTTAAACTCGGTTCAATAGTTTGGGCGTGAAAACGTAACAAACAAACAAGCAAACTCACTTTCACATTGATAATATAAGTATGGATGTTATATATTGGTAAACCTTCTGTATCTTTTATCTTTGCCCTCTCCCCCTATCCGTTTTGCTTGCTCCAAATTACCGTCTTCCTCAGACTGTTTTTCTTTGTCTGTCTCAAAACGATTACATTCCCAAGGAGAGTTGATATCAAAAAACTTTGTTGTTAATCCTTTTAATTATTTATGAAGTCTATTTGTAAATTAATTATTTAAGTGTATTCGTCCTGTTAACGTCAATAAAACTTTATTGTCTTTCTTTCTTTTTCTCATAACAGGCAGGCAAATTAGAAAAAGGAAGACACTATTTTTAATACCTATTTTTAATATTACCACAAATTAGGCATACGTATATTTCCACAAATGTGCCTAAACTTATTTGCTATATTATATCATGCTATATTAAAATATGTGTGAATTAAATTTTTTGTTTGTGGGAATATAAAATGTTTTTCAGTTCTTTTTTATGAAACGGCAAACCTCTTCTTAACAAAGATATAAATATGGTTCTCGATAAGGTCAAGTACCTTCTAGGCTTAAGGAATGTTCATTTTATCAAAAAGTTACGAGTACTTTGTGGTAGATGATTTAGCAGCGAAATAAATTTGTGTCTGCATAAATGTTTTTAAAGATGTGGGAGTAATTCCTTGTGTAGGAGTAATTCCTTGTGTAGGAGTTTTGTGTATGAGGCTTTCATATAAAAACCTATAAGGATTGAGTAGGTAATAGGTAGGTAGGGAGTAGGTAATACTTTTTATAGTAAAGACTACATAGGTAAATGAAGAACATCACCGCCCATGGACACTAAAAACTGAAGTCACAAGTTGAGAGTTGTTGGCCTAGGGAAGGGCAACGCTCCTCGCGTTGTATCTCCGGTAACCTCACTCCGGCCACCGGTTTTCTGTGACACCGTAGCAATTATATTTTAAGGAAGATACGTTATATTTACAATGCACGCACAAAATATTTGTTCCGTAAACATCCACCATTCATATTTTAATGCATTTTAGAACAAATCATAGTCTTACCTGTGTTAAGTATATTTTAATTTAAATAAATTTAGATGATTTTAAAAAGTTAATTTCAAAAGAAAAATATATTTTCCAGGTGCAGGGATTGCGTATCTTCTCTCTTCAGAAACTATTCGCGGAGACCTTGGAGCAATAATTCCTTACAAGCACTTGAGAGAATATCAGATATTCGGTTTGGAGTTCCTGATGACCTTTATGCTAGTGGCCGTAGTCCTGAGCGTCATCGACACAACCCGAGGAGCGAGGGGCCTAGGTTCTGCACCACTAGCCATAGGTCTATCTATCACAGCTGGCATCTGTAGTTGCAGTCCTTACACAGCATCTATGAATCCTATCAGAAGCCTGGGCCCCGCAGTTATTATGAATCGTTGGGATAGTCATTGGGTGTACTGGGTAGGACCAATGGCTGGTGGTTTGGTCGCGGGGTTAACCTATAGGTGTTTGCTCCTGTATCACCAACAAACGATAGTGTTACAATCATCGCGTATAGATATAAATCGGATGTTGGACAGGCACAGAAGTGAATGAGTATCGTTTTATATTATTATATCTGTTTTTTATTACGAATATTTATATAAATTATATTAAATATTTTTAATTTTATGGGCCTTGACATACTGTCATCGCTTTAACGCCACTTCACTTTTAAAAGAAATATCCTGTGTATTTTGCTACAATAGAGAACATATATTCTTCTGAAATAACTCATCATCAACAGCCTTTAATAGTCTACAGCTGGACATAGGCCTCTCCTTAGAAATGAGGTTTTGTCCTACTATACCATGCTGGCCAGACGGGTATGTATAGGGTTTGTGTCAAGTTTTCCTTCCCTTTGTAGTGCTGTTGTGCTGCGTATTTTACTCCCTTAGTCAGCTCTTACGATACCCACGGGATGAACAGTGGTGGTGACACACCGTATTCTTACTCCGTCACCACACGAATAAATAACTCAGTAAGTAAGTAATGAAAAACAATTGTGTACAGTGATCAACTTGTATAAGTATATGGTTTCTCTATCTCGGGAATAATTTTCGAAGATATTTGCAGGTTTTTGTAAAATACAAACTTAACTTTGCACTTCTTCAAATGCTTTTAAATACATCCTAGCCGTGACACCTTACTTCTTCTTCTGTGAGACCTTACTGATGCTACGAAAACAACCTTGAGTTTGAAATATGAATTGAGTTAAGATCCTCAGGCATATTAATTTTAACAATTTGTTAAAACATTATTTACTTAGAACACAACACTTACTTACTCTAATTTATATTTCGTTTACAAAGATAATATTCGGAGCCAATTAAGACCACCAAGATCAAAGAACAAAAACTTTTATCTTCGGAGTTATCTTGACAAAAACAGGAGACATTTTTGATAAATTAAACCAATCATTGCAAAGGAGTTTCTTTGAGTATATCAAAAGAAATATCAAAAATAATGAGTTTGGAAGCTGAATGTATAAATCTTGTAATGTAATGGGCACGATATAGAGGTTATATAACGCTGATAGAAATGGCTGAAGTCAGAATGAAAATAACTTTAACGTAGTAAAATTTCACTAATTAACTGTCATAATTTTTATTATATTTACAAAGATAATAATAAAATAATGTTTTATTAGAAAAATGTTTTTTTTTTAAATCGGTTTAGTGGTTTGGGCATGAAAGCGTAACAAACTAATAAACAAACTCACTTTCACATTTATAATATACTAGCTTTTACCCGCGGCTCTGTCCGCGTGAATGTCGGTTATCGCGGTAAAAAGTAGCCTATGTTACTAGCTGATAATGTAGCTTTCAATTTAGTGGTATAAGCGTGAAAGCGTAACAAACAAACAAATACACTTTCATATTTATAATATAAATATGGATTCCAAATATGATCTCCGTCCGACGATGGCTTCCATTTGTATATTTGTTTAAAATAATTTTCTTTAGGTATTAATATACAGGTTTAAATATTTAAACAAAATATTGATTTGCATACGACAGAACATAATTATGTACCAACTGCATTTTCTTGTCATCTTATTTTTTTTTAGATTTGAAAAATCTGAAAAAAATATAAACTCTACATCGAAAAAGTACAGGCACAAAACAGTAATTGCATTGGTTGCAACCGTTGCATTGTGAAAAAAAAACATTTGTAGTTTTTTTTTAAATATCTAGTGCAGAGTAAGTACATTGGCACTCACTTAAATTGAGACATTATCATAATAATATAATACGAAAATTAAATTGATGTACGGTTGAATGCTTTAATGTTATCAGTATAATCAAAATGACTGCTTATTATTCTAATACACTACTATTCTAAAATATATTTTGGTAAAACAAATTTAAAGTTTTATTACACGTGCATAAACAAAATGGCGGGCACCTCCAGTCTGTAACTTTCTCAATTAAAAGTTATCCCCTATCGATTTGTGTTTCCTAAAATTTCATTGAATCTGTTTATGTTAACCAACTATATTGTGACAAAATAAAACTCGATGTATCTACCTATTTATTAATGTAGGTGGGCAAACTCATAATCATTTCTACTTACCTATAGACAATTTTTCACTCAAGTCTACGAAATACTGAAAACACCTACACATATGATGTTAACATATTTCGCTTTATGTTTTCTTAACCTGAAGCGATATAAATTGTTAACTTTCGATAGCATTTTTACAAAGGTTACGAGAATTGTATACCTACCATCTGATAAATTCTTCAAACACACTACAACTTAACAAAATGTTTTTTTCCGTAGGTCCTCGGTATATGTCGTAACAGGAAGAAGTGCGAAGATTATTTTATGATAATTAAATGAAACTAGAATTTCATTTAACACGTTTACACAATTCTCTTAAATTGTTTTTAGAAATTAATTAATTGTCAATTGAAAATAATTAAAAAAACAAGCTCTTAATATTCTAATACGTGCAGATACCCATAAGAATATATTATCATTTACGAAATATACTGAATATCTATAAGTAGGTACTTAATGGTATTTCAAAGTAGGTATATTCACAGTAAGTAGGTACATATTAATTTGGTTCATTGCCGTGGGAAAGCAAGCTCCGGTCGGTATGAGCCGCCGCGACCAAAATTATACCATGGCGTGGGGATGGAATAAAGTCTCAAGCACATAATAAATCACAAGTTTTAAGAATCATATAATCACACCTGTGACCAAATTCCAAAACCACTGCAACTTATTATTATTGTAACGCTAGCGCGAGACTCCTGCAAGGTCTAAAAGCTAAAAAATAATAATAATAATCTAAAATTATACCTAAATAATTTAAAAAAATCTGCTAAAAAGAATTTTGATAAATTTTAATGGAATTTATCTTTGTCTATAACCAAATCACAATCACATGTGAAATCGCTGTGACTAAAACCAATAATTTCATAATATAAATATGATTTAAAAGTAGCAATAATGTCCATGTGTACCACGACGTCAAAGAAAACTAGGTTCAACCCTACCCCCTACCCCTCCTAATGAGAGGGCACTCAAAGGGTGGCAACATGCTTGTCTTGCAGGTATCTATTAGTGGCGGGAGTCACTTACCATTACGTGACACATCTGCTCATTTGCACCCTATGTCAACTAAATTACTCAGCAGGCACTCTGAACTATAATTTCCATTGTGATAGCCATGCATGTACCTACGGATATTACGTATAACCTTTACCCAATGACCTGTTTTCTGGCGATCAATTAATTAAATATCGAGTGGCAACAGTATTCGGTCGGATTATTTTCATGTTTGTTTTTTGGGTTTGAAATTAAAACCAATATTTAGAAGTTTAACCTCCTTTCAAACAGACACTGAAAATGAAATGTTGCTTTTAGAAGAAGGATTGAAATATAAAAATTGAGCAGCCTTAGAAGTAGGTTTAGTTCATTCGTTATTAAAATGTCAAAAGAAATATGAAGGTAGCCATATTCAAAATACATTGCAGTCGAAAAACAATACACAATATACACGGAAAGTATAAACGTTTCTACAACAGGAATTACGTGACCTTCATGTAAATACGTTTGAATTTAGATTTCAAATCTTCACATAGACCTAGGTCCTATATTTTATAGGCTTTTGAAGAAAATGGGGATGAGTAAATAATGGACCTTATGAATTATTTCTACACAAACTCTGAAAATTAAAAAGCGAAATAACTTTAATACGCCTACATCATGATGAATTGCAGATAGCTTTTCATAATTTAACCCATTCAGTTCATAATGTTGAAATATAAACAAGCAAACTATTAAAAAAATCAAAAGTAACCACCCTACTACTGGTGTGTTCCACAGATCGATATTTCAAATCCATTCTAAAAAATTGATAAAATAAAAAATATCTAAAGCTTAGACCAATGGTTTATGATAAAAGTTACAACTAATGTCTTTAGATAGGTGATTAGGGGATTAGTTAACTTGCATGCTTTTTGAAATTTTAGAAATAAAATTTGATAAGGTTTTTGTTTACCTATTTTATTTCCTTACAAAATCAATAATACCTAATTGTTTGAGCTATGTGTACGAGTGACAAATTCCAAATTTTCGATTGCTTTTTACTTTTTTAAAGTGAGCGGGCTACTTAATGACTTTAATCTATTTTTATTTTACACTTCTAGCTGGAAATCATCAATCACTCTCATGAAACCACTCCTTATATCTTCCTACCTGTATAGCACTATTCTAACTATGTTTCAGAAAAGTATTGCCCTCTGTGAGTCATATCAGAAGGATCAACATATATAACTTCGAGATAAAAGTCAACTCGAAGCTTTGGCGGTAGCTATGTCGCTGTTGTTCACAGATGTCGTTACTGAATTGAAATACTTATAATTTCATTTAAAACGATTGTACATAGTCTTCGATTATTTAAGTACTATATAAATCTAGTATATTTATAATACATACATCTTATTAAACATTCATAATCATTTCGATTTATATCTCAAAATATTTAAATTCTGAGTGGAAACATTTTCATTGGCTCACTATTCATTTAATTGATATGACGTCAAAGAAAATGACATTTCCTTTGTGACGTCTCCTAAGTTTTCAGGCTTTTTTCAGTGTTTTGTGAAAAATCGATTAAAACATGTAGGGATGTTAATTTTTGTGTAATACATTACAAACCAAATTCCATAAAATGGATACAGTCGGTGATTACGATGATAACGATTATCCTATTTGGCAAGAACCGCGGTGCGAACCGTTGGGAGCGCCTAAAGAGACTTTATGTGATGAAAACATTCAGGATCAAACTCAAGGAGACAGGCTACACGCTTTAGAAGAGGAACAGGAAATATTATCTTCGTCCGTGTTTTCTTTAACGTCACATCTTGCACAAGTAGAATTTCGTTTGCGACAAATTTTGAAAGCCCCGCCGGAAGAAAAGGATGAAATGTTGAAAGCTTTGGAAGAATTTACATCTCGTGGAGTGCCTGACTCGAGAGCTGCTCCCCAAGGAAGTGCCGGAGATGTGTCATGTAGTGAATGTGTCGAATTAGAACGAAAAATACGCCGTCAACGAGCCAAGCAAACTCACTTTATCGAGAGATTAAAAACTCAGTTAAAGGAACTAGAACGTTTCGCTGCAAACCCGCCTTCAAGTGGCGATACTAAACACAGGACCCTAATAGATCATTTACGAACTGAATTAGATCAAGGACTTAAAGAAGGATGCCATCAGCCATTGACCGCTGAAGAATTAAGACATCAGATCAACTGCGCTGTCCGTCAGTATGCTGATAGGCAACTATCTAAAGATGAAATCATTGGTAAGTTACAGGGACACATAGATGATATGCAACAATTCATTAAACTGATGAAAAATGAAGAGCTAAGTAAAAATAAATCACCTCCGGAAATGAAAAATTTTGGAAAATCTGAAAAATTTGATAAAACTTTTAGCCGAAGTAAAGGAAATGATGATTTAAGGGCGGAAACTATAAACTTGATGAGAAAAGCTTCAATGTTGATACAAATTTTCACAGTATCACAGTTTGGATGTTCTTCTAATAAAAGTAAAAGATATGAGGGAAAGTCATCAAGTATCATAACTCACTGGGGTAACTTACGGGCCAAGCTTGAAATGTCTATAGACGGTGTACTTCACTTAGTGTCTAGAGAACGACCAACCCACACTATGATAGACAATTATGATAGTGAATCTGAAGAAGGGGGAGTTATTATAAATGATGCACCACTTACAACTGCTGTAAGAAGACACTTAGCAGTTAACCTAAGGGACTTACTCCACCATGGACTCACGGGCCCAGAATCAAGCTCTCTAGTTCCAATCATTGGGTGTTTTCCTGTTCGAAGGTCTTCCACTTCTCGCACTACACATATCTGGGAGCTAATCCTGCGCTACTACGACTTAAATGACGGTGACAGGTTCAACTCAACACCAGCAAGAAAATTAAGTCAAAGCTTTAACTTAGATATAGTTGGAGGTACAGCAATTACTAATAAACAAAGTCTTTTAAGTGCTATCGGTAGTATTGTAGCTTCACATACACCGTACAAGAGAAGTTATGATGCTCACTTCAAAGCTTTTGTGTGTGCGGCCTTAAATGTTCATAAACTAGTTACTTGGTTAAATATTATCTTGAAAAGCAGATCCTTGATTGATGCATATTATTCATCTACCAGTTATGTTGTAAATACAGGTTTTCAGGATGCCCTACAAAGCCTGGATCGTTTAACCGCATACAATTTTGATCTGCCTGTTGATCTTGCTGTTAAACAATTTCAGAATATCAAAGATGTATTTATGTAATTAGTTCTGTAAATTTGTAAGAGTACAATTTTTATACATTATATATACTGCTTTCAAATATGCTTCTAGCAAGTTAATTTATCTTTGGATAATTCCATGTTTTTGTGATCATAACTAAACTAAACATTTAACTGTTTTTTTTTTTGAGTCTAAATTCGATGTTCAAATGTAACTCATTGTTAAGTCTTGTGCTGCACTGGCCAGAAAAGGTACTGACAAACATATTACAGTTAAGTAGCTTTTAAGTTTTGGTTATGTACCTAAGGTTATGTTATGTTTGTTTGAAGTTTTACTTATAGAGTTATTATTGATTAAGTTTATTTTTAACGTATTAGCATCAAACTTACTAAACTAAACTAAAAACACTAAAAATTTGTTTCGTCCCGTCAAATTACGTTTCCTGTTCTGAAAACGTAGAATTTGGCAGGACTACATTTTTTTTAGGGATTTTTAGTTTAGAGAGTTATCGAACCACAGAATTGGTACCATTGTATACAAAAATGTCGACAATGAGTTGCTAACTGAAGACTGTTCTAATTGAGATTTAATGATAGCATGATAGCAGTGGTGACGGATTAAGAATACAAATTGTCACCACCCCAATTCATCCCGTGGGTGTCATAAGAGCCGACTAAGGGAGCAAACTAAGCAGGACAACAGCACTGCAAAGAGAAGGAAAACTTGAAACAAACCCTATACCAACCCGTCTGGCCAGCGTGGTATAGTAGGCCAAAACCTCCTTTCTAAGGAGAGGCCTATGTCCAGCAGTGGACTAGTATAGGCTGTTGATGATGTTGATCAATCTTAAGTAATGGCAATGGTTAGTTATCTCTTTCACTCTTGTATATCTCACAGCTTCGGGACAATTATGTATGCAGTGTCTTGACTGCTACTACTACTAGAACATATCTAGTATAGAATATTAGTACATGCCTATAACATGTGAAATATCAATTTTGTACTATCTTTAAAACTTTCACATTCCTTGATAAATAATTATGTAAATGTATCGGCATTTATACGACCATCAAACCTTCAAAAAAAGAGCGTACTCCTGCCTCACAGGCCGGCTGTGCAGTGCCGGCAAAGTGACTCCTGAGTAACAGGTGATTATAGGCGGCGGTAGTCACTTTCCATCAGGTGGACCCGTCTGCTCGATTGTCCCCTTATTATTAAAAAAAAAGTGTGTGTGTCAGCTTCGAGGCACGACTGGAGTTTACTCCTGGAGAACGATTCGGATGCACAAAAGTATACAAGTTATCAATCAATCAATCAATCAATCATTTATTTCGTAAAACACAGGTAAATTCAGATGTTACAAACCATATTTAAAAGATCGCCATGTTTCGCCAATAGGCATACAAAACAATAAAAGGATTTCATTATTCCTGTGCAATACAACTGTTTAAAGTCCAGTAATCATATACTTATTCAATTCAATAAAAATAGACTTTGATTTGATTTCTTAATTAAAAACATACTGATATTGATAAATGACGATTAAATCGGGAAAAATGTTAAAATAATTAAAAATGACAAACTCAATATGTCAAATAATTAACAATCAAAAAAGTCGAACTAAATATGTCAAAATAATGAATAATCGAAAATGTCAAAATAATTAAAAGTTCAAAATACTAAATAAAATGTCAAAATAAATTAAATTTTTTAAAACAATTAATAATTACAACGTCAAAATAAATGTCATTTACAAATACCTAATCATATACATAACTAATGGAAGTCAAAATTTATCATTCAGAAAATCTATTATGGAGTAGTATGCTTTGTCAATAAGTAATTTTAAGAGATTGCTTTTAAATTCATTAACATTTTTACGGTCTCTTATTTGTTTTGGTAAATGATTGTACAGCTTTGGTGCCATTGCGTATACACTTTTATGTAGAAGTGCTGTTTTGGCTTTTAATAAGTGCAATTTGTCGGAGCGACGTTGACTTTCTATAAAAGTTATACACACATTACTAAAGTAAAAGGTGCGCACGATAGTCATCGAGGTCATTCGATCACAAAATTTTACTCTTCATACTTTTTTCATACCGGGCGCCTTATATGAAAATCGATTCTTAAGGAGTAAACTCCAAAAAACGCGAGCACTACAGGTTTGGACTGGCCGACTTACGTGACTACGGCCAGTGCAACCTTGACAGCACATCAGGCAGTTCAAAGATATGATATGATACCTATTACATGATCACATATTTAATTCCTTTACATATACATAGTTATATAATATTCTGTTGCATATTTGAAAGCAGGCTTCTAAAGCCTTACATAATATCAAGGTCAGGATTAATGCATTTATTGTAGCCTAAAAGTCTAGTCCATTTATTGTGTAATTAATTAGGTTATAGTCACACCTGTTGCTATTTATGTTTAAGCCTGTTTCTTGATGATTCAGATGTTAAAATCTCTGAGACTTGGAGCTAATTTTAATACTGGCCTAACACTTTCAAAGGCCGGCAACACAGTGTGGCTATCGAGTTGCAGACGTTCATGGGTAGCGGTAGTCGCTTTCCATCTGATGACCCGACCTATGTCATAAAAACCAGATCTGAAAAAATAAAGTCTACACTGTGTAGAAATCCGAACACAATCATATTATTACATATATGTAAAACTGATTAAAATTTAAGTATAGAATGTGTTATTGACATAAACATACAACAAAACATACTCTTTCTATCCTATACCTACTGCATCAATCTGCGTCTCTAGTTCTTTACTCTGTGCTACTCCTGTTCATGTCATTTTTATTATACCTAACGTAATTCAATTCCTATTTATCCAATCGGTTGTAGGTAATTGATTCACCAATTGACCTCACGACGCCCTTGTTAACGGGAAAATCATCACTTGTATGTTTATATTATTTTCGGGTGAATCTCCCCCTTTTCGTTAAGTTTGGTGGACGTATGCGACAAACTAGAATAAATAAAATTTTATTTTTATTAACTACTCTCGCCTTGGCTAAATTGGGTATTTTCTAAAAAAAAAAAACCTCAAATCGGGCTTACATCTGCCAACTGCTGAATGAAATTTCTTTTGCGTAGCTGGTCCACTCTAAAACTAGTGAGCCAAAAGTGGTTTGGCAGTTTCAGATACTTTCTTTTCATCAGTTCTCTCCTAATTATAAGTTATTCGTTATGTGCGATCAATAAATTGTTAAATATAAGAAAGTATCGTGTGATAAATTGTTTACCAAAGATGTAAAATAATATGATTTATGTTAAAGCCATGTGCACTGTTTACTATATCGCTAATATAAATTAGTTGAAGCATTAATACTGAGTTTTATTTATTTTCAATAGCACACAAAACGAACGTCCCCGAACGAGCGAAGCATCCCCATTATAGTCGGTATCATCGCGAGTAGACATGGGGACAACATCACAGTGAACTGTGATTTATCGATTATTGCGTACGTACCGGCCTACGCTGTTTAACAGTAAATCTAGTATTATTTTAAATTATTATGTAGGGAATGGTAGCAAAATAATAATAAAATAATTACTAGATTTACTGTCAAATAAGGGAAATAGGGTCTTTATTCATCGTCTGAAAACAGATTATTGGCAACAACGCGTGAAAAGTTACCCTTACCTACGTACGAAAAACTCGAATGATAAATCGCCGCTCAATCACAGTTCATTGTAACTTTGTCAGATCTATAATCGCGAGGCTGCAAGCCTGGGCCATTTGTTTGTTCGTTCAATTGAGAATAACAACCTGGTGGTACGATAAAAACGACGAAATCATTTTTGGAACGAAGTTCCTTATCGCGCGTTGTGAAAGGGGGCTAGACGGAAAAAATACTGGTACGAAAATTTGGAACAACACTTTTTTATTAATATAAATTGACGTCTAACTGTGGATACCATACATTAAATTTGCTTTAACGTTCGCCAACGTCCATACCATGTTGAATACACCGGTTCTCGTCCGATCACCGAAGTTAAGCAACATCGGGCGTGGTTAGTACTTGGATGGGTGACCGCCTGGGAATACCACGTGATGTTGGCTTTTTGCTCTTTATTTTCGTGTCACCTTGTCAGACATTCAGCGCCATCTATCGAATAGATAGGAAATCATTTCGCAAGGAGATTTTACCAATGTATAAATTGTTTTAATTGTTTTTAATATGTAGGTAATAGCCGCTTTCATAGATGGCGTTGTAATTAAAATGTGCCGAATCAGTTTTACTCGATCGTTCGAACTTCGTTCCTATGGGGTGTCCCACGACACCACACGGCTTTTTTTTGTCTATTTTATTCGTAACTAATTTTAATCTATTTTATGATAAAACAAAAACACATTTGAACGACACCATTTATTGAAATTAATTGCTATTAGTAAATATATTATAACTTGTTCGCTTATATTTTATAACGGTTTTTTAAGTTACGAAATATGAATACGTTTTGGTAACCAGTTATGAACAAGAAAAATAATTCCACTTGGGTAAGGTTAAGAAAACCAGTGACAAAAATAGAAATTTTATTCTCTTTTCGTGGGCAGGTATCAAACAAGAAAAAAGTCCATATACGAAGCTGGTTACGAAAGTTCAGTTATGAAATTTTATGAAAGACAATAACTTACTTTTTAATTATGCGTTTTCGTTGACTACTACATGTCTGATGAAATTTAAATAAGTATTATTAAATACTCTAAAACAACTGGCATTTTGCTTTGTTTAAATGTTTAAATATAGTGATTTAGAATTGTACATCCTGTAATAAAATAAAAATGCTTCATAACGCCATGGTTTTACGGATGAGGGTTATTGAAATTGTGCGCTTTTCCTGTGTACCTCCGGTTGTTCCCCTGGTGGTACAGTGCAAGATAAACCGCTATTAGGGGTACACAGAAAAAGAAGTTAAATTGCACTAGTTACGCCTATACAAAGTTGTTTTGGCGACAAGGTCAAAGGCACCACCTGATATTCATTCTTAAACCCATTTTTATTATTATGTATATTTTTTTTTTAGTAATTATTATTATACTGGTGTGAAATAACACTAGTTAAAACAAGAAAAAAAAACCTAAAGTATTTACCGCATGTAAACCTACCATTATATTTGCAAACCAGCATTCACTTAATTTTAAGAAGTACCTACATTGCAAGAAAATCAATTTGGAATTATCTACCTGTCAACGTTTACTTTTCTTTTATGATTTGTATTTCATTTCTCCTTATAAGTGATTTGTGTAATCTTGAGAAATAAAGTGATGTTTAAACCGTAAAAGTATGAAACGTCAAACGGTGCTTCTTAGATTAGATGAAAACTATAGTATTACAGTGGTTTTGGAAACTTCAGGCAAATTTAAAAAACATCATCAACTTTTTTCTTGTTTCCGGTTCTAATTTAACTTCTGTAACCAATAGTAAATAAAACTCATCAAATGTTAACGCAAAGTTTATTATGGACAACAATAAATAAACTGAATAACAAAAAAATTAATAAAAATTGGTAAACAGCATTTCGCGTAATATATTTAATTTTCTGTATTAAATGTATAAATAGTACATAACATACCCTGTGACCAACAACAGTACAAGCTGGTCGAAAAGGCGTGTATTCAGTTATGTAATTTATACATATACAAGTTACATATTTATTAACTACGTTAAATACTGCCTTTGTTCAAAATTTTAAAGACGAACTGAACATGTCCATATTACTACAATTCATATATCAACATATATGAATTTAATTGAAAAGCTTAAGGACATAACATTCTTAAATTTATCGCAATGATTTTAACAGATTTAATTTATACCTTTAGGTTTATCCTTTTGCCATTTTCGTTAAGGAGATTTAAATTAAATTAAATCTGTAATATAAGTTTTAGTTCATGGAATTATAGAGTAGGTTGTATTGAGGTATGGTTTACTTAGGTCCCAACATGTTCTCCGGCTTGACCCACTGGTCGAACTGTTCTGCTGTGAGGATGCCTAGTTTGATGGCTGTGTCTTTTAGGGTACCACCTTCGTGGTGAGCTGTCTTCGCAATCTGTGCAGCCTGGAATGTAAAGAATTGGGTGAGATATTGAGTCGGTCAATAACATGTTTAATCTTAAAATTTTCAAGGTAACGACAATGGAACAGTCATCAAATGCCTATTTTATGGGATCCCAGACATTCATGACTCATAACAATAAGAGGGAGGAGGGACTTATAAAGACAGAAAGAAATGGTTATTTGCACAGAATACAGTTGAAACTAGATTTTACAAATGTTCATAGTTCAAGCTATACTCTGGCTGTGTTAGGCATACAAATGTTTTTAGTTATTACAGTTCAAATACTATTAAATTATTGACAAAATGTCATGATATTATTTAGCACATTATTATTATATTACATTTTACAAATAATCAGATACATGCGCTTTATATTGCACATTCTTTATCGTTTTAAAAGTAAATCCTTCTCTACTTTCAACCTTTAATGTGAAGAATTTAATTGTTTCACTTTTCTTAATTATTGTATTGTATTCTGTACAATTTTAAAATAAAGTTTGTACCGAATTGTAAAATAATTTAAAATTCAAAATAAATTATTTCATGGAACCCTGGTAACTTGTTAGATACCGCGTACATTACTACAATAAAGAGTTGTTTTTTTTAAAACAATGTTTTTACGTAGTTTCCAAAAATAATAATCTGTGGAACCACAACCAAATTGACATAGGTTATTTCATATGTGCTAATTGGCCCAAAGTTTTATACGATACAGATTTAATCAGTAAAAATCGAGTCTATAGTTCATGGTGATGTTAACTGTTAAGTTAATGACCAAAGTATAAAACTGGAGGAGAAAATGCTTAAATTCTGTTCTGTTTGCCAGCCGATTTTATTGTTTAGTAGCTAATAAATGCTGATGAAGTGTTTGGTTGAAGGCACTAATCTCAAGAAATGCTGGTTTGAATAGAAAAATTATTTTAGTGTCGAATAGCCCGTTTCTCATGAGTCTTAGGCTATTTAACATCAAGATACGACCAATAGAAGCTGAACATAAATAGAAAAATAGTTTAAAAATCTAAAAAACACGCTTTTTATAGAAAACCAAACTAAACAATATAAAATAAATTTAATAAATTTGAAAAAAAAGTGTTGGGTGCCTGTTGTCAATAGTAAAAAGCATCCCACGCTTTTTTTCAAATTTATTAAAATTTATTTTGTGTATTTTTAGCATGTTTTTTAGTTTTTTTAAACTATTTTTTTTTTAAATTATTGTACTGTCATCGGTCCTCGATATATCTACAGTTTGAACGAATTCTGACCGTTTAAAGTCAGGCCAAAATCACGCCCAAAGGAGACGGTTACAAACAAACATACAAACCTACAAGTGGAGCTAATATAAAGCATGTAAAAAAAGGGGAAAAATTATTCCTTTTGAGAGATGCAAACGAGTTGCTAGGCTCAGCTAGCAAGGTTTAAGGAGTCGAGCTACAGTGTTAAATGGCTAGTCTATTTCAATCTTTATATTACAGCGTGTGGTCTTAGAGGAAGATGTTGTGTTTACCTTATCATAACCGATGTGTGGGTTGAGCGCGGTGACCAACATGAGTGATTCCCGCATGAGTTTGTCGATCGTCTTCTCGTTTGCCTTGATGCCTGCCACGCAGTTCTTGGTAAATGCTAAACAGGAATCACCTGTCGAAGAATAATAATAATAATAGTTAATTTTACACAATACATATTGGTTTATCCCAAATACTATATTTCCGTGTGGTGACGGACTAAGAATACAGAGTGTCACTACTCCTATTCATCCCGTGAGTGTCGTTAAAGCTTACTAAAGGAGCAAACTCCACAGGACAACAGCACTGCAAATAGAAGGAAAACTTGACACAAACGCTATACCAGCCCGTCTGGCCAGCGTGGGGTTAAGTCCAGCATTTGACTAGTGAAAGCTGTTGACAAAAAACAATATTATAGTTATTTGACACTATTTTTGCGAAGATTTTCATGCTACCCAACAAAGGCTCCCCTAAAGTTTGACACAAATACGATAATACATGAAAACGGAAGACAAGATCGAATTTTGCCAACGAATATATCTATTAAAGAATGAAATAAGTTAAACAAGCATTTGCCAAGCATCTTAGGGGTAGATTTTATATGCCTTTTAATGAATGCTTATGATATCGGAGGGCCTAGTTTGAATTTATTTCACATCAAGTCGATCGTCCCAGTGATCGCGTTTGGCGGTGCGGGCCAATCGCTGTGTCACTCTTAACCAATTACAACGCAATGTGAGATGTTCAGCTTAGCGAGGCGACAACTTAACCTCCGTACAAATTCAAAATTTTCTGTTTACTCGTTCTGTAGTTATAATATTTCGAACATCTGACACACAACGCCATCTAGCCTCAAACTAAGCAGAGCTTGTACTATGAAAGCTAGATTGATTGATAGAATACTTTTATAAAAAACACCCAAACCGACCCGGGCATCGAACCCGAGACCTCAGCACAGTAGTCGCATAAGTTCCTATTGCACTACCGAGGCAGCATATAAATTCCTTCTGTAGTTAAATATACGATCGAAAAGCTACAGAATTAGTCGTGAAATAGTCGGTGACTCACCGAGCAGTCTCGCAGATCGCAGCACGTTGGCCACCATCATCGTCTTGAAGACATTCAGCTCGAAGTGTCCATTGCTGCCGCCGATAGTGCAGGCCACGTGGTTACCCATTACTTGCGCACAAACCATGGTTATGGCTTCACACTGAGTCGGGTTTACCTTACCTAAAATATATTTTATGTTAATTGTAACATTTATTATAGTTTCCTCGTTTTTAAAAAGACAACTCCCGCATTGGGTTTTTCATCAAGACAATTGCCGCAACTTTACAATCATACATGAAACGGACACAAAGAACACCCAGACTCAAAACAACAATTTGTGGGTCACACACAGTGTCGTCCCATGTGGGGATCGAACCCACAACACAGCGTAGTAAATAATAAATATTGGTAAATAATTGTAACATTAAGAAGAAGAAGACTAATGGAGGTAAGAGTAACATATAGGGTGATGAAGCTACGGTGAGGGAAACCTGAGTCTCAAATAGGAAATGGGTATGACTGTAGTAGCTCGAAAAAACAGGGTCACGAACTCGAATGACGGTTCATAATAATCGGAACAAAAGATTAAAGAAATTTAGATTTGAAGACACGATACCTGGACAATCATCAAAGTATAAAAAATTCACACCCTCAGACACGGCAATTTATAATACAATATTTAATATTTTGGATATCTGACACACAACGCCATCTAGTTTTAAAATAAGTAGAACTCTTCTACTATGAAAGCTAGATTGACTGATAGACTAGTTTTTCCGTAAATACATATGTACATATTTTACATAGAAAACACTCAAACTCCGAAACAAATATTTGCAGATCATACAAACAATTTGGTCCGATCCGAGAATCAAACAGCAGTCGTATACGCTACCACAGTACTACCACGGCAGTCATCAGCAATTGGAGTCCAAACTAGGTTGAGGTTGTACTACGGTAACTAGTGCTGATAAAAATACTTATATATTACTAAATACATACGTTTTAGATGAATGACACCGAGTGGGAATCGAACCCACGAGGTCTGGCCACTGGGCGCTCGCAGACAGGATGAATTTTTTTTTTTTTTTTTTCTTTGTTTAAATGACAACTCCCGCACTAGGAATAAATCCTGTGTCGCGGGGGACTTTACAAACATACATGAAACGGACACAAAGTACACTCAGACTCAGAACAACAATTTGTGGATCACACAAAGTGTTATCCCATGTGGGGTTTGAACCCACAACACTCAGCGCAATAGAAAGTGGCGTGGCGACCGCTTAAACCACTACGCTATCCGTGCAGTCAATGATGAATGACTGCACGGATAGCGTAGTGGAGAATGATGATGAACTAAAGCGACAGTCATCGTACCGGGCATGATGGAGGAGCCGGGCTCGTTCTCGGGCAGCATGAGCTCGCCGATGCCGCAGCGCGGGCCGGAGCCGAGCATGCGGATGTCGTTGGCCACCTTCATGATCGACACGGCGATGGTGTTGAGCGCGCCCGACACCTCCACCATCGCGTCGTGGTTCGCCAGCGCCTCGAACTTGTTCGGCGCCGTCTCGAACGGGATACCTGCGCACGTACGGTACCAATGAGGTCAACGTAAAACATATATAAATTAAAAATAAATAAAATCCAACTTTATTGTGTAAAACACAGCATACACCTTATGTTGAAAGGAAAAAAAATATATTTTAAATAATATTACATCTTTGAGGCTCACTACTATTGACCTGTACGCGCAACACAACGCTATCTATGGTCATTGTCATATATGACGCTGCGCTGACGTGGCGATCACTATTACATTAGGTTATTTATGGTACCAAAAAGAAGGAAAGACTACCTATTATATAAATATCATAAAATAGTTCTAAACTGTAGCAGCGAACGTCATATATTTGTGGCCATCGGTGGTTCGCTTATAATCGTATGTGTAATATCGAGATCGTCAGCTCTTGTGCCTGGGTTACATGCATGCCGAGGATTAAAAAACGGCCACAAGCTCCAAGTTTTTACAAACGCTTGGATGCCATTTATTCGCTTACGAGTGTGCTACTGTGTGTAAGACAGGCAAACATAGCAGACGTGGACATATTTTTATTCGAAATATAAACGGCGCCAATAAATTCAAAAAAATATATTCTGTAGCCCTACTGCTCAACTAAACTTCTCAATCAATAGAACATTGTACAGTGTCCACATAGTATACATCACAGAGTAAAGTAATACCATAAACATGCCTTGGTTTACATTAGTACCGATAGATTAAGATTTTTAACTGCTACATTACTTTCCCCGAATATTCGAATAATAAATGCCTATCGTTTTGAGCTTGGTGTTTTTTTAGGAATACCTGGCGACTCTTTGGGACGTTTTTGGAAAACTATACAACATTGAGACTTAATGTTGATTCCCGACTGCTCAACTACAATATTTGTAATATCAAATTGAGCAGTAGGGAACGACCCGTGTTGGGCTGTGGGGTGTGGGGTGTGTGAGAGGGACACAGTACCGGTGAGCGAGGAGATCTCCGCGGCGCACTTCTCTGCGAAGCCGATGCGCGTGTTGAGGCCGGTGCCGTGGGCTGTGGGCTGTGGGCTGTGGGGTGTGTGAGAGGGACACAGTACCGGTGAGCGAGGAGATCTCCGCGGCGCACTTCTCTGCGAAGCCGATGCGCGTGTTGAGGCCGGTGCCGTGGGCTGTGGGCTGTGGGCTGTGGGGTGTGTGAGAGGGACACAGTACCGGTGAGCGAGGAGATCTCCGCGGCGCACTTCTCTGCGAAGCCGATGCGCGTGTTGAGGCCGGTGCCGTGGGCTGTGGGCTGTGGGGTGTGGGGTGTGTGAGAGGGACACAGTACCGGTGAGCGAGGAGATCTCCGCGGCGCACTTCTCTGTGAAGCCGATGCGCGTGTTGCGGCCGGTGCCGTGGGCTGTGGGCTGTGGGCTGTGGGGTGTGGGGTGTGGGGTGTGTGAGAGGGACACAGTACCGGTGAGCGAGGATATCTCCGCGGCGCACTTCTCTGCGAAGCCGATGCGCGTGTTGAGGCCGGTGCCGTGGGCTGTGGGCTGTGGGCTGTGGGGTGTGGGGTGTGGGGTGTGTGAGAGGGACACAGTACCGGTGAGCGAGGAGATCTCCGCGGCGCACTTCTCTGCGAAGCCGATGCGCGTGTTGAGGCCGGTGCCGTGGGCTGTGGGCTGTGGGGTGTGGGGTGTGGGGTGTGGGGTGTGGGGTGTGTGAGAGGGACACAGTACCGGTGAGCGAGGAGATCTCCGCGGCGCACTTCTCTGCGAAGCCGATGCGCGTGTTGAGGCCGGTGCCGTGGGCTGTGGGCTGTGGGGTGTGGGGTGTGGGGTGTGGGGTGTGGGGTGTGGGGTGTGTGAGAGGGACACAGTACCGGTGAGCGAGGAGATCTCCGCGGCGCACTTCTCTGCGAAGCCGATGCGCGTGTTGAGGCCGGTGCCGTGGGGTGTGGGGTGTGGGGTGTGTGAGAGGGACACAGTACCGGTGAGCGAGGAGATCTCCGCGGCGCACTTCTCTGCGAAGCCGATGCGCGTGTTGAGGCCGGTGCCGTGGGCTGTGGGCTGTGGGGTGTGGGGTGTGGGGTGTGTGAGAGGGACACAGTACCGGTGAGCGAGGAGATCTCCGCGGCGCACTTCTCTGCGAAGCCGATGCGCGTGTTGAGGCCGGTGCCGTGGGCTGTGGGCTGTGGGGTGTGGGGTGTGTGAGAGGGACACAGTACCGGTGAGCGAGGAGATCTCCGCGGCGCACTTCTCTGCGAAGCCGATGCGCGTGTTGAGGCCGGTGCCGTGGGCTGTGGGCTGTGGGGTGTGGGGTGTGGGGTGTGGGGTGTGGGGTGTGGGGTGTGTGAGAGGGACACAGTACCGGTGAGCGAGGAGATCTCCGCGGCGCACTTCTCTGCGAAGCCGATGCGCGTGTTGAGGCCGGTGCCGTGGGCTGTGGGCTGTGGGCTGTGGGGTGTGTGAGAGGGACACAGTACCGGTGAGCGAGGAGATCTCCGCGGCGCACTTCTCTGCGAAGCCGATGCGCGTGTTGAGGCCGGTGCCGTGGGCTGTGGGCTGTGGGGTGTGTGAGAGGGACACAGTACCGGTGAGCGAGGAGATCTCCGCGGCGCACTTCTCTGCGAAGCCGATGCGCGTGTTGAGGCCGGTGCCGTGGGCTGTGGGCTGTGGGGTGTGGGGTGTGTGAGAGGGACACAGTACCGGTGAGCGAGGAGATCTCCGCGGCGCACTTCTCTGCGAAGCCGATGCGCGTGTTGAGGCCGGTGCCGTGGGCTGTGGGCTGTGGGGTGTGGGGTGTGTGAGAGGGACACAGTACCGGTGAGCGAGGAGATCTCCGCGGCGCACTTCTCTGCGAAGCCGATGCGCGTGTTGAGGCCGGTGCCGTGGGCTGTGGGCTGTGGGGTGTGGGGTGTGTGAGAGGGACACAGTACCGGTGAGCGAGGAGATCTCCGCGGCGCACTTCTCTGCGAAGCCGATGCGCGTGTTGAGGCCGGTGCCGTGGGCTGTGGGCTGTGGGGTGTGGGGTGTGTGAGAGGGACACAGTACCGGTGAGCGAGGAGATCTCCGCGGCGCACTTCTCTGCGAAGCCGATGCGCGTGTTGAGGCCGGTGCCGTGGGCTGTGGGCTGTGGGGTGTGGGGTGTGTGAGAGGGACACAGTACCGGTGAGCGAGGAGATCTCCGCGGCGCACTTCTCTGCGAAGCCGATGCGCGTGTTGAGGCCGGTGCCGTGGGCTGTGGGCTGTGGGGTGTGGGGTGTGTGAGAGGGACACAGTACCGGTGAGCGAGGAGATCTCCGCGGCGCACTTCTCTGCGAAGCCGATGCGCGTGTTGAGGCCGGTGCCGTGGGCTGTGGGCTGTGGGGTGTGGGGTGTGTGAGAGGGACACAGTACCGGTGAGCGAGGAGATCTCCGCGGCGCACTTCTCTGCGAAGCCGATGCGCGTGTTGAGGCCGGTGCCGTGGGCTGTGGGCTGTGGGGTGTGGGGTGTGTGAGAGGGACACAGTACCGGTGAGCGAGGAGATCTCCGCGGCGCACTTCTCTGCGAAGCCGATGCGCGTGTTGAGGCCGGTGCCGTGGGCTGTGGGCTGTGGGGTGTGGGGTGTGTGAGAGGGACACAGTACCGGTGAGCGAGGAGATCTCCGCGGCGCACTTCTCTGCGAAGCCGATGCGCGTGTTGAGGCCGGTGCCGTGGGCTGTGGGCTGTGGGGTGTGGGGTGTGTGAGAGGGACACAGTACCGGTGAGCGAGGAGATCTCCGCGGCGCACTTCTCTGCGAAGCCGATGCGCGTGTTGAGGCCGGTGCCGTGGGCTGTGGGCTGTGGGGTGTGGGGTGTGTGAGAGGGACACAGTACCGGTGAGCGAGGAGATCTCCGCGGCGCACTTCTCTGCGAAGCCGATGCGCGTGTTGAGGCCGGTGCCGTGGGCTGTGGGCTGTGGGGTGTGGGGTGTGTGAGAGGGACACAGTACCGGTGAGCGAGGAGATCTCCGCGGCGCACTTCTCTGCGAAGCCGATGCGCGTGTTGAGGCCGGTGCCGTGGGCTGTGGGCTGTGGGCTGTGGGGTGTGTGAGAGGGACACAGTACCGGTGAGCGAGGAGATCTCCGCGGCGCACTTCTCTGCGAAGCCGATGCGCGTGTTGAGGCCGGTGCCGTGGGCTGTGGGCATGTGGGGTGTGGGGTGTGTGAGAGGGACACAGTACCGGTGAGCGAGGAGATCTCCGCGGCGCACTTCTCTGCGAAGCCGATGCGCGTGTTGAGGCCGGTGCCGTGGGCTGTGGGCTGTGGGCTGTGGGGTGTGTGAGAGGGACACAGTACCGGTGAGCGAGGAGATCTCCGCGGCGCACTTCTCTGCGAAGCCGATGCGCGTGTTGAGGCCGGTGCCGTGGGCTGTGGGCTGTGGGGTGTGGGGTGTGTGAGAGGGACACAGTACCGGTGAGCGAGGAGATCTCCGCGGCGCACTTCTCTGCGAAGCCGATGCGCGTGTTGAGGCCGGTGCCGTGGGCTGTGGGCTGTGGGGTGTGGGGTGTGTGAGAGGGACACAGTACCGGTGAGCGAGGAGATCTCCGCGGCGCACTTCTCTGCGAAGCCGATGCGCGTGTTGAGGCCGGTGCCGACGGCGGTGCCGCCCAGCGCGAGGTAGTGCAGGCGCGGCAGGGTGGTGCACACGCGCTCGATGCTGTAGTTGAGCTGCGCCGCGTAGCCGCTGAACTCCTGCCCCAGCGTCAGCGGCGTCGCGTCCATGAAGTGCGTCCTACGCACACGCACACGAGCTTAAACACTATCCATGACATGGAATAAAATCACACTCGACTGCGATGTATTAATCACACGATAACATAATTACTTCACAACTAATAACCCACATTATAGTAAATTGTATATTAAAATGATACTATTACTTTGACACACGCGCATTAGCTACGTTCTAATACACTTCGCAACAAATCTTTTGTTTCGTCTTACTTTAGCTACATTTGACTCGTTGAGCAAGGTTTAACGATGCAATTTCTTTATTCTATTATTTGTTTGTATGGGGACAAGACTGACTGGACAATTATTTTAGTGTCTAATTTATATCGACTGCACAGATGACGTAGTGGTTTAAGCGGTCACCTCGCAGCTTCATACCACACTGAATGTTGTGGGTTCGACCCTCACGAGGGACAACACTGTGTGATGCACATATTTTTGTACTGAGTCTAGGTGTTATTTGTTCATTTCACGTCTGTTTGGATGTCCCCAGCGACAAAAGATTATTTCTAATCTATTAGATGCTTTAAAAATGTATATATGTTCTAATTCTATAATTACTGCTTCAGAAAATTGTACAATACCTCGACTATCCTAATGATTTTGAATTCACATTAAATTAATTTTTTGACATTTATTAAAATTGACTGTATTTTGTATTTATTTTGACATGCATGTGATTATTAATTATTATCATTGACGTTATTAATAATGTGGAAGTTTAAATAATCCTACAAATTTATGATATTTGAAAAAGTAAAATGTGTATATTTGTACTGTATTATACTGTACTGTACTGTATTATAAAAACTTCCATAAGTACCAGGTTTAAACCAGAGCTAAAAGGTCTAAGCTTATTACGGTACTAACGTTAGTTCTTTCATTCGTATTACAAATCGTAGACCAACAAAGGACTACTTAGTACCAAAGATCGTCTCTGGTCTAAACATTTCCACAGATTATAAGCAACAAAATATTTAAATTATTCATCCATTCGTTCAAGCGTTCTACGCGCCTTTCCTTTTTTAACAAAATGTTGTTACGAAATATAAAGAAAAATATTTTATGAATTGTTATTTGTAGGGGTAAAAGTTTTGTTATTTAAAGGTATTTAAATATTCCGGACTTGTATTTTTTGAATGCATGTTCACAATCCAATTATTAATGTTATGTTTTGGAACAACTACCGAGCTAGTACGTATGAGTATAACGGAGTGAACTGGACGGCGCGCGTAATTCGAGTAATGTAACTCGAAATGTTTATAGTTTCACTTCAAGATTTTAGTTACTACAAGTACCTAAAGGCACAGTTCTTTGGGCACAGTATTCTTTTGTTCCAAATCAAACATATCAATTGCATCAATATCCATTTTTGGTTTTCTGATCATAAATTCCTTTCCGAAAGCGAACCTCAAAATTAAGAATTTGACGTTTGACAATTTAGTTACCATAGTTAAACTAGGGTCACGATGGTCTACTTTGATACATAGATAGTTCTAGGACTAGCGATAAACTTCTTTTTGTAATAACGTTTATTCAAGGTCATGGTTTAAACCTAGTACTAAAGCCGGTACATTTTTAAGTCCACGTTTTATAATAAGACGGTAAAAGTTTTTTTTTTTTTTTTTTTTTATTTATTTAAGGAGTTTTAGTCCTTTCGGACTACATCACTCCATAAGGTCATCAATTAGAATACAGTACATACAATATTAGCAATTAATAGAACAATCATATACATAAGATACTCGTACGTCGCCTCATACCGATATCAACAATTTTGTAAATAGCTTTTGCTGCCTCTGAAAGGGGAAAAGCTAATATTTGGTTACAGGCTCCAATGTCTTTCAAGTTCTCTGTTATAAACAACATATCATTTCTAATGTCCTCGTTCCGAACACATTCCACCATAATATGTAACGCATCTTCTAATATCCCACATTCAGAACAAAGGGGAGATGTCACTTTTTTCATCATGTACGCAAATTTATTAAGTGGAATGTGTCCGGAACGCAATCTAAAGGCTATAGTTAACACCTGCCTCCTCAATGTACACTTGTCAAACCATGGAGACTTCCAAGGCTCATTTTGCAATGTTCTATACCATATGCCTTTCTCAACTGATCGCTCATCAAAATGAACCTTCCAAAGCTTATAGCCGTGTTCTCGAATCAGATGTATACAATCAGTGAAAAAGGGCAGCAAGTCTATGGGCACACCATCGCTAGTAGCGTGCTTTGCTAATATATCTACTTCCTCATTACCTGCCAGCCCGATGTGTGAAGGAATCCATTGAAGGACCACCTCTTTTGCATTTGATTTTAATTCAAAAAGGGATTTTATAATGTCGTACGCTATCGGCATGCCTCTTACTTAAGAGGTACACCGAGCCACATGTTGAAGCGCACTTTTTGAATCAGTTAAAATTACAATTTTATTGGCATCTATTGATTTGATATATGCTAGGGCTTCTGAAATGGCAATCAATTCGAGAGAAGTAATGGACATATTGTGAGAAATTCTAAATTTTAAACTTTGATTAATCTGAGGATCGTAAAACGCAACACCCATACTCAAACAATTTTCTTTGGAACGTCGGTAAAAACTTTATAATAATTAGCATATTTGCTTTTGATATATAGGGAGCAGTGTTCCCGGAGCAGACAAGGGTTATAGTTTCTCTTAGCACCACATATACCTTCAATATTGTGCTTCACTACATCATTTAAGTTTGTACCAGTTAATCCAATAATCTAATGAGAACATTTCCAAATTCAATTGTGAATATATATTAATATCTTTAAATGTGGAGTTTATTGTAAGGAGAATAGGGATTTTTTTACGCCTCCAGTATCTACGTGAAATAAGTGAGTTTAATTCTTCTATAACATTGATTGTGCAATTGTTAGACATGGACATAGATTTAAGCCAAAATTTACCCCCTAGAAATAGTCGACGGAATCTGTAAGGGCGCGATACAAAGTTCGCTTTCCATTACGTGGATGGGAGTGCTTTTAACGAAACTTCCAATTATACGCATAGCTGCATTCTGAATTTCAATTTGATTGCTGGCATCATAATTGAAAACCCAAAAAATTTAAAATTTTTAAAAAAATTTTTTTTTTTTTTTTAAAAAAATTTTTAAAATTTTTGGGGGGGTTTTTTTCCCTTTTTTTTTTAAAAAAAATTTTTAAAACCCTTTTCCCCCGGGGCAAGGAACCCCCAAAAATTTTTAACCCCAAAAAACCCCTTTTTCCCCGGAAAAATTTTGGGGGCCCAAAAAAATTTTTTGGGGGGAAAAAAAAAATTTTTTAAAAAAATTTTTTAAATTTTTGTTAAAAAAAAACCAAAAAAAAAATTTTTTTAAAACCCCCAAAAAAAAAAAAATTATTTTTTTTTTTTTAAAAAAAATTTGGGGGAAAAATTTTTTTTCCCCCCAAAATTTTTTTTTTTTTTAAAAATTTTTTCCCCCTTTTTTTTTCCTTAATTTTTTTTTTAAAACCCCCAAAAAATTTAAAATATTTAAATTTTTAAAAATTTTTTTTAAAGGGGGGGGAAAAAAAAATTTTTTTTTTCCCCCCCCCAAAAAATTTTTTTTTTAAAAGGGAAAAATTTAAAGGGTTTTTTTTTTAAAAAAAATTTTTTTTTTTTAAAATTTTTTTTTTTTCTTGTTTTTTTTAATTTTTTTTTTTTTTTTTTAAAAAAAAAAAATTTAAAAAAAATTTAAAAAAAAAAAATTTACTTGGGGGAACAAATTGGGGGGGGGGGGGCCCCAAAAAATTTTTTTTTTTAAACCCAATTTTTTAAATTTAAATTTTTTTCAAAATTGAAAAAAAAAAAAAATTTTTTTTTTTAAAAAAAAATTTTTTTTTCCCCAAAAAAAGGGGGTTTTCCCCCCCCTTTTAAAAATTTTAAAAATTTTAAAAAATTTTTTTGGGTTTTAAAAATTTTTTTGGGTTTTGCCTTTTTTCCCCCCCAAAAAAACCCTTTGTTTTTTCCCCCCCAAAAAAAAAATTTTTTTAAAAAAATTTTTTTTTTTAAAAAAAAATTTTCCTTTAAAAAACCCAAACCAAAAAAACCCAAAAATTTCCCAAAAAAAGGGGGAAAAAAAAAGGGGGACCCTTTTTTTTGGGGGGGGAAAAAAACCCCCCCAAAAAAAAAAAATTTTTAAAAAAAAAATTTTGGTAAAAAAAATAAAAAAAAAGGGGGGGGGGGTTTTTTTTATGGGTTAAAAAAAATTTCCCAAAAATTTTTTTTTGGGGAAAAAAAAATTTTTTTTCCCGGAAAAAACCCAAAAAAAACTTTTTTTTTAAAATTTTTTGGAATTAAAAAAAGGGGGAAAAAATTAAAAAAAAATTTTTTTTTTGGGGGGGGTTAAAATTTTTTTTTTTTTAAAAAAAAAAAAAAATTTTCCCAAAAAAAAAAAATTTTTAAAAAAAAAAACAAAAAAACCAAAAAAAAAAGGGGGGGAAAAATTAAAATTAAAAAAATTTTTTTTTTTTAAAAACCTTTTTCCCCCCCGGGGGAAAAAAAAGATTTTTTTTTTAAAAAAAAATTTTTTTTTTTCCTTTTTTTTTTTGGGAAAAAATTTTTTAGGGGGGCCCTTAATTTTAAAAAAATTTTTTTTTTAAAAATTTTTTTTTTAAAATTTTTTTTGGGTTTTTTTTTTTGGGGGGGAAAAAAAAAAAACCCCCTTTTTTTTGGGATTTTTTTTAAACAAAAAAAAATTTTAATTTTTTTAAAAAAAAATTTTTTTTTTTAAAGAAAAATTTTTTTAAAAAAACCCCCTTTTTTTTTTTTTTTAAAATTTTAAAAAAAAAAAAAAAAAAAAAAGGGGGGTTTTTAAAAAATTTGGGAAAAGGTTTTTTTTCCCTTTTAAAAAAATTTTAAAAAAATTTGGGGAAAAAAGGGGGGGGGGTTTTTTTTTTTGGGGAAAAAAAGGGGGTTTTTTATTTTTAAAAAAAAAATTAAAATTTTGGGTTTTTTAAAAAAAAAAAGGGGGTTTTTTCCCCTTTAAAAGGGGGGGAAAATTCCCTTTTTTGGTTTTTTTAAAAAAAAAAAAAAAAAAAAAGGGGGGGCCCCAACCCTTTTTTCCCCCAAAAAAAATTTTTCAGAAAAACCATTTTGGGGGGTTTTTTTTTTAATTGGGCCCCCTTTTTTAAAACCTTTCCTTTTTTTTAAAAAAAACCAAAAAACCTTGCCCCTTTTTTTTTCCCCCCCCCAAATTTTTCCGGGGGTTTTTTTAAAAATTAAAAATAAAAAAAAAAACCAAATTAATTTTTCCAAACCCAGGGGGGCCAAAAATTTTTCCCCTTTTTTTTTTTAAAAATTTTTCCCCCCCAAAAAAAATTTTTCCCCCCTTTTGGGGGCCTTTTTTTTTAAAAAAATTTAAAAATTTTTGGAAAAAATTCCCCCCTTTTTGGGGAAAAAAAAAAAAAAATTTTCAAAAAAAAAAAAAAAAAATTTTTTATTTTTTTTTTTTAAAAAATTTTTTTAAATTTTTTAAACTTTTGGAAAAAAAAATTTTTAATTTTTTTTTTTTGGGGGGTTTTTTAAAAACTTTAAATTTTTTTTGGTTTTTTTTAAAAAAAAAACCCAAAAAAAAAAAAAAATTTTTTTAAAAAAAAAAAAAAATTTTTAAAAATTCCCTTTTTTTTAAAGGAGGGGCCCCCGGGGAACCCCCAAAAGGGGGTTTTTTTTTAAAATTTATTTTTTTTTTTTTTAAAAATTTCCCCTTTTTCCTTTTTTTTAAAAAAAATGGGGGGCCCCCAAAATTTTTGAATTTTTTTGGGGGGGCCCCCAAAAAATTTTTTTTGGGGGGGGAAATTTTTTTTTTTTTAAAATTTTTTTTTTTGGGGGGTTTTTTTGGGGGGGGGGGCCCCCCTTTTTTTTTTTTTAAAAAGGGGTTTAAAAAACCCCTTTTTTTTTTTTTTTTTTAAAAAAAAAAAAATTTTTAAAATTTTTTTTTTTTAAAGTTTTGGGGGAAAAGGGGGTTAAACCTTTTTTTGGGGGAAAAAAAAAAAAAAAAAAAAAAACCCAAAAAAAAAAAAAAAAAAAAAAAAAAAAAAAAAAGGAAAAAAAAAAAAAAAAAAAAAAAAAAAAAAAAAAAAAAAAAAAAATTTTTTAAAAAAAGGGGGGAAAATTTTGAGGGGTGGCCGAAGCGCCAACATCGGGAACATTGAGTTACCGGAAAAAATGTAAGGTTCTACTCTTACTCCTATATTAATTATCTTAATATATTGCGGACGAACACTTCCCTTAATGCATATACGTACGGTCTCCGTAGGTATCCAACCAGATTCCGGATCTCTCCGGTTTAGTCTTTTTACCGATAATATCTCACAGTCATTTATATTTTGTATAGACGATAACAGCTCACTCTCCGATAATTCTAAGTCTATATTTCTTATGATACCATACGATACTCCAACCTCCCACGTCTTGTATATTTTCCATCCTTTCTCTTTAATGCTTGGACAAGTGGTTAATTTCTCAGCACTTACAGATCCTCGAATGTTACTATTATTTTATAGGCACTTACATATTTTATGGCTTTTATTCCTCCTATGTTTTCCCCTTGAAATAGTTTAGCCAATGCAAACTGTTTTGGTAATTTTTCTGTGCTGGTAATGCAAATATCATTTTTTTCACTTTTTCTTCTCTTCTCTCCTGCGCACAAAATCCAATCTCCCTCTAGGTTGTGTAAGTTTTCATCGTTGCTATTCATTATTTGAGTTTCATTCTGTATTAAGTCCTCTTCGTCCATACTGCTACCGTCCATAATTAAATTATCAGCAATGTCCGTAGTACTTACGTTCTCAACAATACCTTCACTCATACTGCATAAGGTTCACTACGCGATAACGGCCGGCTGCGCGTGTGCGCACCGGCTTAAACCGGTATCTGGGTAGTAAACAACCGCAATATACTTTAATAAATTCGCTCGAAACACGACTTAGTCACCCGAGAGTGAATCGAACTCTGTGACGGTAAAAGTTTAACATCGTATTGTTGTCATTTGATATTATTAGTTAAATTACTTGATATATATTCTTTTTTATTATTTCATGCTGTCTGATGATGAATCATTTCATACGGTGAACGAATCAACTAGTATTTCAAGCGACGGAAGCTTCAGCTCTTTATCGGATACAGTTGGCGACTTTGTGCAACACACATTCAGTCACCCCTATTATCTGAATCACGCTGGTGTTAATAGTTATAATAGCATCACATCTCACAAACGGCCGTCTGGTTACAAACTAGGCAGAGCCTGTGCTATGGTAACCAGACTGCTGATAACATACTTATATATTTCTAAATACATACACGTTATAGATGAATGACAGCTAGACACAAAACAAATCATCGTGCTTATCACATAATTATGTCACTAACCGCTAGACCAACAGGCCCCCAGTATTGTACAAATCCTTCTTTATATACGAAAAGAGAGTTCAATTATAAGCAATAGTGAGACTTCTGCAGTTACAATAACATATAAAATTGTAATTCACAAACCTGCCGATTTTGATGATTTTATCGAATTCCTTGGTTTTAGCTTCCAGAGCGTCCCTGAGCGCGCACAGGCCCGGCATGAGCTTGTCGCGCAGCTCCATCGCCACGGCGATGTGCATGGCGGTGGGGTACGTGTCGTTGGAGCTTTGGGATTTGTTCACATGGTCGTTGGGGTGCACCGGAGATTTGCTGCCTAGTTTGCCACCCAATATTTGGATCGCGCGGTTGGCTATTACCTGATGATACGAAATGTGTCATAAGTTCCAAGTCAGGCCCAAAACTAGTTGAGCTTTCAGTAGACAGATTTGAATAGTTCTTTTTGTATTTGATAAAATATCATCATCAACAGCCCCTAACAGTCCACTGCTGGACATAGGCATCTCCTTACAATGAAGGTTTTGGACTACTATACCACGCTGGCCAGACGGGTTGGTATAGGGTTTGTTTCAAGTTTTCCTTCTTTTGCAGTGCTGTTGTCCTGCAGAGTTTGCTCCATTAGTCGGCTCTTACGACACGGGATGAATAGGGATGATGACACTCTGTATTCTTAATCCGTCACCACACGGCAAATTTAGGAAAATAATTATAGCGTGTAGCATCATGCTAGGACTAATAAGAGCTGTGACCTTAAATGCAGATGAAACTGCGCTGAATAGCAAGACTAATAAAATTAAAAAGTACTATTATTTGTCAAAGGTTTGCTTAATTATTAGTTACTTAGATTAAATTCAAAAAAATAAAACAAAAATGAAATGATTACTTCGTTCGTGTTCATGTTAGACTGGGTGCCGGATCCCGTTTGCCAGATGACCAGAGGGAAGTGTCCTTCACGGTATAACTTGCCAGATATTACATCATCACACGCTTGCATTATAGCTTCCGCTGTTGATCGAAACATTTGTGTATAGATTAGTACACATGCACTGTTTTTTTTCGTGAGTTTGGAAAACGGTATGTATAATACAGAAAAATGCTATCCACATGCGTAACGCCGGTTTTGAAAGAAGTCGGTTTTGAAAAAAATATGAAATTCAGTTTTACCATATTTGGTGATAGTATCATGAGCCTATCGCAGTCCACTGCTGGACATAGGCCTCTCCCATTGCACGCCACTTATGTAGATCAATTTTTGTTTTTATTTGGATACTATTTTGTCTAAATATTATTACTACATTCAAGAAAAAAATATGTATTTTAGATTTTAAATTATTCAGTCGGTAAACTGACGGATTTGATAGGCGCTCAAAGTATAATCAAGCATGTGATTTTTCTAGAAAATTGTGTAATCATCAGTTGTTATTTTAAAACAAAACTATTTTTCACTTGTATGCCAATTTTCATATTTACAGATTTAGAATTAAAAAGTTATGTCAAAAAACCTAACAATTATTTGAAATGGCTGCTCTGTGAAGGTCAATAAATGTCAGATCCGACACAATTTTTGGATCACACAGTATCGTCCTATGTGGAGATCGAACCCACAACACTCTGCATAACATAGTAGACAGCGGCGTGGCGACCGCTTAAACCACTACGCCATTCGTGCAGTCTATTGTACAGATATAAAGTACAGACTGTATATAAAATTAGTGATGTGCCGGATCGTTAACATAGTATATCCGCGGATACGGATCCGAGTACGGATATTTGGTGTCAAGATCCGCGGATACGGATCTTAAGTTTCTTACTCAATCGGAGCCCGTGACCTTGATAATTGTCGCCACTTGACGCTTTGCCGTTGATATTTAAATATTTCATTATTTTAAGCTAATACAAAGATGTTTGATTGATCTCATTATAAAGATAGCTCTTTCAGTACCTACGACCTGCCTAGTGTAGTACGATAAATGATTGCAATACAAAGGTGCCACATATTTGTTTTAAGAAATAAAAAGTAAGTAGTTTTTCATAGCTACCTTATAACCATTATTCAGGGTTATTTTAAATTTACTGAAAACCTCTGAAGTGCATATTAGTAAACAACAACTTTTCTTCTGGACTAACACCGAAAACGAAAGAAAGAAAATTGTTTCTCCATACAAACTATCAACATTTGATTGGTCATTTGGAATGGAGAACCAATTTTTTTCATTTTGACGTTGGCCAGAAAAAAGTTGCTGTTTATAGTGTTACAAACACATACCTAAGAGTTTTACAGGGAATACAAAATCACCTATATAGAATTTCATCTATATAATATGTATTGAAAGATCCGCCAAAAAGTCACGGATACGGATACGGTTACGGATCTCTCTTCTCCCTTGGATATCCGCGGATACGGATATCCGGCACATCATTAATATAAATAGTTACTATACCACTATAGTTAGGCAATAAGCTTCCGGTCTGTTAAATGAGTTGTTGAGAGTTGGTCTGTTATGTTGTACTGATCACATAATGAACCAATCTTACCTTTTCCCAAAATAACTGATTTCCTAAATATCTTTGGTTTTAGAATGTCGGAAATTAAATTGTCAAACTGATGTACAGTCAGTTACTGTGTTATTGGTCAATCTATAACAAAACTTATTTTCTTTAAGAAACAAAATATTACTCTTAAACGTTAATAATAGATAAGTGCATTCTCTTTTTAATTGTTACGATATTTTGTAGAAACTGAAATTTCTGATAACATCGCCGGATTCATTAATAGTGCACAGCTGGACATAGGCCTCTCCTAAGAAGGTATTGGCCTACTATACCACGCTGGCCAGACGGGTTGGTACAGGGTTTGTTCACAGCCTCATGCCGCCCTGAGTGTGGCCGCGGGTGGACGGGTGGACGGGGTGGGTTTCCCCTCCACCCGCATTAGTTTGGCCAGCCGCGAGGGGGCGGCGTCCGCGTGTGCCGGACGTCGCCTATAAAGAGAGGAAAACATTGAGACGGAGCCCGCACCAGGAGCGGGCTGGCGCTAGGAGGGGTCCGGATGTCTTAACAACAGCTGTTCCCGGATCCCTCCTGTTACAGGCGCAGAGTGGCACACCGTGTGGTTTTAGTCGGTCCGAGTCCGACACACCACCCCGCCGCAAACCCCGGAGGGGTGACGGTCCGAGGGGATTTCCACATGTTAAAAAAAAAAAAAAAAAAAAAAAAAAAAGGGTTTGTGTCAAGTTTTCCTTCTCTTTGCAGTGCTGTTGTCCTGTGTAGTTTGTTGTTGTTTGTTTGTTTCGTAGCCGGATTGTAACTCGTTGATCTTTGTACCAGTCGTCGTCTTATGTTTGTTGTTGTCGTTTTTAATACGTGTCATTTAAGTAGATACTACTTTTCACATTTGTCAAATACGTTCATCATTTTTGTTCAAATGCGATCGACGCGCGTTAATTATTATTAATTTATTTAATCTTAATAATACTTTTTATGCTTTCAATGTGACCGATGCCGAGCATTCCATTCGATTGATACTCCTAAGTTACAGAGCCTGATTTATCGTTAGTTGAAAAGTTGTACCTGTGTCCATTATGCACTAAAGACGGTTTCCCTTTTTGGTTGTCTATAAATTTCAGACTATTATTAATAATATATATATAAGAGATTTCCACGTATATAGTCACTCATCACGATATTTCTGGAACCATTAGAGCTAAAGACTTTAAATTTGGTAGGAATATTCTTTTCACCGAGTAGAGGTCAGCTAAGAACGGATTTTAAGAAACTAAAAAAAAATATGTAAATAGCAAAACAACGTTTGTAGGGTCAGCTAGTTAATAATATGGCGGACACCTGACAGACAACGACATCTAGTTTCAAACTAACCAGAGCTTGGACCATGAAAGCTAGATTGACTGATGAAATACTCATATACTTCTTTATATAAATACTGTATGTATAAAATAAGATACACATAAAGAAAAAGTGATAAAATACTGGTGATGACGAGAATATTATAAGAATATTGTTAGTCATAATAACTTACTAATATATTCATTATACTTTTCAAATATCAAAATGTATTTGAGTAAGTTGATCGGTTGTCTAGACCTAATAAGAAGATCCAATAATAATACGAGTAATAATAGATTTTAATAAGGTTGACAAGATTGGGTCACTAGGTGCTACCAGCTGTACTACCTTGGTAGTACTTGTGTCCTAGAGGGAGCCATTCCACCAAACCACCAAACTATCGCATTTATAAACAGATAGGTTTTTGCTAACATTGTTTTGCTTGAATGTACCTTTTCTGTCAGACAATAAGAACTTCTGACATTCAAATACAAAACTATTTAGAAATACAGTCATTTTGGGAAAAGGTGATTTTGAAATTTGTTTATTATGTGATCAGCACAATATAAGAAACTATCCTAACAGACCGGAAGCGCATAACAACAGAAATGTTGCTTAGCTTACCAATTTTCTTATCCAGTCCATACTCAATGTTGACTTTGGCGGCAGCTTTCTTTAGGATACCGAAGGCTACAATGACGGGGTACTGAAAAGAACAACAAGAACCGTAAATAACACATTTAAATCACAATTCAATCTAATGGTAATAAAATTGATTTTACACAAAAAAATGCTGATTAGAGATGTATCAATTTCAACTGAAGGTATTTCTTGTTACAAGTAATCTTAGTACATACTTTATAATTTTAATAAATGAAAATTTATAATAGTTTATAATTATTTTAGTATAAAATACAGGTACAACACACTAGTGCGCATGTACATCCAATACTATAGGCACAGTGTTATTTTCTATACATAAAATTACATCACCGTAACTTACTAATAAAAACTTAAGATCAATTCTCATAATAAATATTAGTTCAAAATTCAGTGCCGATCTACTTTCGATCTCAAAATGTTACAAATGTTCGAGGGTCAAAAAATTAATCATAAACAAACAAACAAAGCTTCATTGAAAATAATATATAAAAGATAATTATAAGGAGTTGGCGTGTTCTTATTACATCACGGCGGTTATCGGGGGTCATTTAACAGTACATCAAGGACTGACGTCACAATTTAAAAATATTTATTCCGCGTGGCAATAGGTCAGTTGTGTTCATTGATTACAAAGCATTTAATTATAAGTTTACTGTTGAGAGAAGGAAAACTTGAAACAAACCCTATACCAACCCGGTCTAGAAAGCGTGGTATAGTAGGCCAAAACCTCCTTTCTAAGGAGAGGCCTGTCTCCAGCAGTGGACTGTTAAAGGTTGTTGATGATCTGTTTACTAAGACTATACAGCCTTATTTATATATAAAAACAAGAATCTTAGCACATAGGGGTCATCCATAAATCACGTCACACAGACTCGTACATGCGTTTTGGTGTGATTGAGTAATAATCGTCCATCCATTCAAGCAGGGTGAATGCAATGCGTTCGGGACATTCTGACATACATATTAAGGACATCAAATGTAGTTCACCAAGGACCCGTATGGTCCTTTCCTGTTTAATAGGATTTCGCTTTGCTAAGGACGAAATTGTATTTAATATATTTTCAACTCATCTCATTTATTTCTGATTAATTTCGTTGAGGGTTCCAAGACAGTAACTTTTTCTAGGACTTCTCAAACGTCGTTTGTGGGTAACTGCTGCTGACCCTGGTGTACAGGAGTTGTATTAGAGGGTGTTTGGATGATATTAGTCCCATAAAAAAACCATCAATCCAAATTTGGAACAGTATGCTACTCTATGTAGAATGAATCAAGTTACTTACCGGCATACGTTCTTCAATACCACCGATTGGGAAGTTCATGATGGATCGTACAGTTTGGCAGCCGTACAGTCTGTCGTCTGGCACCTCCAGCTCTCCCATCGTGTCTTTTTCTTTTCTCTGTAAAAAGGCGAAGTTTTTTTTTTAGGGGAAAGCAATAAGAAAAAAATCTTAGAAAATGGTGACTTTTTGTACTATCATATAAGAACTGGGTCTAAACTATTTATTTTTTATTTTTTGGCGTAATAAAACGTTGCTCGTCTATGGAAAGTGGAATTGTACGACGCACGTTCCTTACCCATCCAGTATCATCTTAAATACACTGGTTACTTAAAGACTTAATTAATGATGTCAGAACTATTTGAGCTTAATGGAACGGAGTTCATTCTCCCATGTGACGGATATCCGCCATGTAACGTGTAATCCAATTAACCATATCATCATTATTCATGAGATTAAAAATGACACAAAACGTTAGAATGTATGTAATCGATTAAGTTATCCACCTTAACCGATTACTTATATTCAAGCGTCTCAAATTGAGGCAAAAATCTACGACAAACATTGTATAAACACTGTTAGGCAATCACCACATGTGGGTAGTACAAAATATAGCTTGGAAAGTAACTTGGTATTTTTATTTTTAGCTTGTATTTTTTCTTCTCTTTGAAACTAGCCTTACATCCGCAATGATACAGTTTCACAATACTATTTTGTCATTATACTTTCCTTTTGAACCGTTGAAAAAATGATGGTGGTACAGAATGGTGGAGAAAGTAGGATGTAACATCAGTAATCGACAACAATACAATAGTGGCGTATTTTTAAAGCGGTCGCCACGCCGCTCACTACTATAATTTTTATTTTATACCTACGTGTTGAGGATCCGATCCCCACTTTGGACGACACTTTGTGTGATTTACAAATTGTTGTTCTGAGTCTGGGTGTTCTTTGTGTCCGTTTCATGTATGTTTGTGAAGTCCCCGCGATACAGAATTTATTTCTAATGCGGGAGTTGTCTTTGTTAATTGAAGAAAAAAGAAGTATACAATTCTGATAAATAAACTACTTGTAAAGTATACTAATATGTTAGATACGTTAAATATAGTTATAGTCTTTATCATACATGTACTTATAAACAATCGTTGGACGTATCTACGTTATTCTTTTATGTTTACTTCTTGATAAAACTTATATATAAATAGGCTTTGATAAGTAGACTTTCTTAATGTTTCTATAGCATTCGAATATTACGTAAGTTTAACATCTGAGGTTAACAAGGTAACTGAGGTATATGAGGTAACATCCGAGTTTATTTCACATCTACTCGATCGTCACAGTGACCGCGTTCGATGCTACGATTGGCCCGCACTGAAATCTCCACCAATCGCAACGCTAAACGCGCTCGACGTCGAGAGCGAGTCGATGTCAAATAAACTTGCATTCGGCCCTCTGTTATATGCTATCGTCTCGGATCCGTGATACCAACCAATCACGGCTATCAACTTTTCTTATGACAGAAACTAAGTCTTCATCATACTGTGCATAACGAAAAAGCAAAGATTAGTTATAAGAGTCCCAATTAAAACCAAAAAAAAAACAGGCCGCGTTATTCAAGTCCTCAGAAAAAAAAATACACGTTAAAAAGGTACAGTGTGCAACATTGCGGTGATTTACTCTTAACATTTAAAGCAATATCACGCCCCAGATACAGCGTCAAGCACAATATCGTAAAACAATACGCAATTACTATGATGTAAACAGGATGGAGACGTAACCTTATGTTTACTGTTTGAAGTAAAGAATACAAGAATACAGAATCATTGCGGCCCTTGCCATGCCCTGCCGATAGTAGGAGCCGGGCCTAACTCATTCAAAGCGACTCAAGATGAATTTAAACGGCTGTGACCATGCTCGAAAGAGCGCTTTTCGAATGATCATTATCATCTTCATTCCCAGCAGATTAGAATATAATTCACGTTAAATACTCGTCAAACATCAGCAGATACAATGATAATATTATTAGAAGTGTATCAATCTAGGACAATATTAAATTTCTATTCACATCAACACATCAACAGCCTTTAATAGTCCACTGCTGGACATAGGCCTCTCCTCACACAGGAGGTTTTGGCCTACTATACCACGCTGGCCAGACGGGTTGGTATAGGGTTTGTGTCAAGTTTTCCTTCTTTTTGCAGTGCTGGTGTCCTGCGTTGTTTTGCGCCCTTAGTCGGCTCTTACGACACCCACGGGATGAGATGGGGTAGTGACATTCCGTAATCTTAATCCGTCACTACACGGACACTTTATTTCTATTAACTGAGTGTAATACAATCTAATTATATTAATAAATAAATTATTACTGAAAACATGTCATCTTGGAAATGGTCATAAAATTATATTGCATATTCACCATTTTAACAGCCTTACTTTCCGGATTCAAACAAATGGAGCACGCCATTTTGCTAAAATCTTATAAAAATACACAACAATATAAAATATAACTATATATAAATGAAATAATATCAAATAATAAATAACGTTCACAAAAGTCCGTATTTTGACATTACTGGAATGTCATTATGTTTTTATTACAGTTCTATCGTTTCGAAAAATGAACGACTGGCCTGCGTTGACAGCAAAAAGTATGTATATAGATACACTACTTCGCACAAAACCTAATTTTCAAGGGAGTCCCCACACAAAATCACAAATTAACACGGAGCCAGTAAACGGGATGAGAACCGAAAACTATTACATGGAAGTGTGGTAACACTGGTCTTTGCCATGTAACAGAGAGTCTCATGAATCTTTAGTGAGCCACGGGTGAGAGACCCAAAACGCGGTTTCAGAATGGTTAAAAGGTGGCTTAAGTGGGGTAAGCTCAATAATACTTAACAGAAAATAACATGGGGCTTGTGGAAGACAAAAATTTCTTGGTATACAAAAAGAGAAAGTACCATTGTGCGCGAAAATGTCTGTAGATGTCTGCAGACATTTTCGAACTACGAATCACACATTTCACAGATATGGCGCCGGCTCCTATACAACACCCATTTTTGTCTAGTGAGTGATGCTGCTGGGCCTTACGCTTTCCCTTGAGAATTTTGAGTTTTGTTGTAGCACATAGACTCTAGTATCTACCAAGCTAGGTGGTATCTAGTACCGACACCAAGCTTAGAATACATTCAGATCCTTTAGAGTCATAGACTTCCATAGGAATAATCTTCAAATACTATTGTTCAGGAACGCGACGCAAATATGAACAAACATGTCTAAGATTTATATATAGATTTAAGATCACAGCGATTGCAGGTGTAGGTCGTATACGAACACAGGGCCAAGGTATTTTATCGATACTTGATTATTCCACTCTGTATACTGCACACTTGTTGTTTGGAGGTCGATCGGGTTTTTAACATTATTTTCCTTCTGACAAGACATTTTACGGTTACTCTGTATATTGCACACTTGTTGTTTGGAGGTCGATCGAATTTTAACATTACTTTCCTTCTGACAGGACATTTTACGGTTAAGTTTTATATAATTTGCTTGTTTTCTTCTGGAAGCTGTAAAATATTTCTTTTGCATAGAGAACCAAAAGGTTAATGTGATTCCGTTCGGTATTCATGACAAGATGAACATTAACTTATTAATGTGAAAGTGAGTTTGTTTGTTTGTTACGCTTTCACGCGTGAAGCACTAAACCGAATTAAAAAATATATTTCACTAATGGAAAGCTACATTATCAGCGAGTAACATAGACTATTTTTACTGCGAGAACCGAGATCATGCGTGCGGAGCCGCGGGCAAAAGCTAGTATTATTTAAATCTGTTTTTAATAAGCATATTTATGAGCATGAATAAGCAATATAAAATACGGGTTGAATAGATTGGTGTCATGAAAGCAAACATTTCATTTCAAGAACTAGTTCTACTATGCTTTTAATAAATCTAAAATGTACAAAGATACCAAAATACAGTATTTTTTTATTTAATGGGACATTAAACAGTTACACGTTGGGTAATAAATAACTAGTTAGAAATAGAGTAAATAATCTATTAAGTGAGTGTAAATCGTGGGTATGTAATGCAAGAAAAGTCTGTCAAATGTTGATTTTGTTGTGAGTGCAGACATAATTAATATAACGTTGGTATTGAAAGCTTGAAAATCTTTATATAGTTTTTTTAAATGTAGAACCGATTACGTTTATTAGTTTTATTATCTTGTACAAACATCATGTACAAGTACTGCCTGTACATCCATATATTACGTAACAACAAATCCCAACAAGACGAGAATTCATTTTAAAAACAAAAAAAAACGTAAACAAGGGTATTCCTGATTAACGGTTAGAGAAGGCCATACGACATTTAATCTGCCGATGCATTAACTTGTGCATGAAGCTTAATAAATGAATAAAAGGAAAGTGAGAAACACAAATAAACATCTAAGTTTAGCTGCCCTGTATCCACATACACTACTTACCTAGCAACAATTTTATTCTAAATATAACGAGTTAAATTGAAGGTTAGAAGGTCATCTCAAATTTATTATTTAATATTCAAATTCAACTACATACTGTGGTAAATAAATTATACACACAACAATAATACAGTTATTTTTCAACATATTACAATATTATATGTAACTTTCATTTGAACAACTGTTTATTAATTCGGAAAAAAAGCACTTACCATTTTAACTGGCTTCTTCTCACATTTGCAGGTACAACACGAATCCATTTTGTAAATTATATAATAAAAACTAACGGTACAATAGAGTAATTCTTTTTAAATTACTAAACGATTTCGCAATTTAAAAATACAGTACAGTATAGTGAGGAGCCACGTCGTCGCACAACAAATTCAATGAATAAGCGAAGTTAGCAGACAGTGCTTTGGAAACCGGTTGAGTCCCCACTATAATATTCAGCAACGTGAACCGCTCGATTTATAGTCGCTTGTTATCACTCTGTACTAAGACCGACCGCAACGATGGTCGTGGTCGAACTGATTGTGACTTGGTGTTTAACCACAGCGTGATACGGAACCGTTATCAATTAACATGTTTGTATAACAGCTATAGGTATATTTGCATAGTAATTTAGAAATGA